TCACCCCTTCACAGCAGGGAAGTTGTGCTGGTCAACGTTTTTTTAAGCCTTTGGATACAACTTAAGTAATGTAATCCCTGTCCCTCCCTGCCCCCACCCCAGTGGTGCTGGTGGGTGCGGGCCAGGCCCCCAAGCACAGCCACAATAGACCTGGGACCTACAAGGTTGGAGGTGGGGTTGTTGTTGGGGGGCGGTTTTGTTTGTTTGTTTGTTTATTGTTTTGGATGGAATCTAGTTGCCTCCAAGAATTGTGCCTTACAGTGTTTGGGGACCAGGGGATATGCGCCCTCCCTGAAGGGTCCCTGTAGCCTCTTCCCCGCGCTTCAGAGCCAGGTTCAGACCTGCTGGTGGGGAAGGGCCACGTCCGTCCTCGGACCCCTGGCTGGGTATGGACTGCAGTGAGGGGAGAGGGAAATGGGTCAAAGGGGGTTCTTGGGACAATGGATGGAGTTCTTCCAGCCCCCTTCCTTTAGCCCACCCCTGGGCTGCTCCCCAGCTGCTTGAAGGCTAGCACAAGCCCCTAACCCTAGAGCTCCCTCACCTTTAATTTATTCCCTTCCTGTCATCCCCACCCAGTCCTGCCGCCTCACCCTCCTCAGAGTCCCCTAGACAGAGGCCCTTTGGACCCAGTTTCTCAGGGATGCCCTTGCTGCCTGCCCACCTACCCGCCGCCGCCGCCGCAACCTCTTGGCCTTGGTCTGCAGTCCTGCCCTGGGAGCTGGCACCTCAGCTGAATGATTCTTTCCCACGCGCCCGACGTTGCACTGCACAGTTGGACAAAATTCTGCTGTCCCAGAGTGAAGCTGTTCCCACTCAGGCGTGGAGCTCTGGACACCTTTGCACACCCACACTGCGGGCCTGGCCGGTGCCCCTTAGAGCCTGGCACGTCCCCGAGGCCCCCAGAAGGAGGCATCGGAGAAAGACATCCTACGTTGAACTGGCTTGACCCCCTGCTCCAAGGAAGACCTGAAAACCTGAGCCAAAAGGCTGGTGCACACTTGTTTACTGTGTAAGCAAGCGTAGAAGACTGATGTACGGTGGAACCTTGTACAGAATAAACGATAGCTTTGAGGAATAAGCTGGCGAGTGAGAGAATCTTAATTGGGGAGCAGCAGCCCAGCATGTTCATGTTGCCACTTCAGCCAGGCGGTCACCTGCCGGACCCACCGTGGTATCCTGCAGGCCAAAACCAGTAGGGGCAGCGTTGTCAGCTCTTCCGCTTGTGAACGCTTGAGGGTGCGTCTCCAAGGAAGGGCATTCCCCGACAGCAGCTCAGCCCTGTTTTACCCCTCACATGCCGCGGCACAGCGAACTCGCCTCTTTAAATGAACCTGTCCACTTTGTTACCTTTTTACACCACATAGCTTTTTAAAAATACTGTGTCTGTGTCTATCTAGGACGAGGACTTTTGCCATTTCAGCAGTTTTTACACCTGCGAACTAATAACGTTCGTTCCACACAGTGTCATCATCACCAAAATTTAGTGCTCCCCAGACAAGAACTCCCTCCTCCCTGGTTAGCTACCACTTGACTTTGGTTTCCTTCCACCTGCCTGGCCTACCTAGCTCCCCGAAGTGAGCTCGTGCAGCCTCGGGCCTCTTGTGACCTGAACGCGGCCGGGTTTTAGGGCCAGGAGTTGGTTTCTCACACAGGCAGGTGGCACACCGTTGTCTGCGCGATGACCCACGTCCCCCCGGGGAGAGCATTTAGGTGGTCTCTACGCTGTTGCCACTGTGAATAATGTCACAATGACCATCATCACTGTGTTCAAGTCTGGGGTCTGTACCCAGGAATGGAATTGCTGGGTCATAGGGTCCATCTATGTTCAGCTTCCTAGGGACCTCTAAACTGTTTCCCACTGCGATGATGAGTTATCTCATTTCTAATTCTTGACGTGGGTATCTATCTCATGGTTCTTCGTCTGAAACACTTGGTGGGTACATATACTGGCTGATGATGACCTTAAAACACACAGGCCTTTCCAGAAAATTCTGAATAGAACCAAAAGGTCCTCCGAGTGGGGCACCTATCCCTGGAAGTGGTACAGGCAGGGCCTTATAAAGCTCTCCATGTTTGCCATGAATACCTAGACACAGCTGCCTCGGCTAGAAGCTT